CTAATTGTGATAAAGAATTGTTATATAGAGTTTTTAAGCTGCAGAAACGCGCTGCTAGAGTCATCCTTTACGCAGAGCGGATGGCTCCATCCGTAGAACTCTTTAATAGACTGAAATGGATTCCTTTTTACGAGAAGTGTAAGATTGACAAAGCGTCGATAATGTTTAAACGAATCCACGGTGCACTACCTAGCTATTTAAACGAGCATATTCCGATCAACAACTCAAGACATTCAAGAACTACGCGCTATTCAAACTTTAATGTACTGTGCCCCAGATATAACAGGGAAACTGAAGGTGGGCGCACTTTTCTCGTCACCGGAACCAAAATTTGGAACGAGATACCACTACGCATACGGATGGCGGACAGCATAAGGTGCTTTAAGCACAACATGTGGACTAATATTTTTTCGCAGCAACAATTTTTAAGTCATTTTCGTGTATAGTTTCCTTTTTAGTTTCTTTACTTATCTTGCAATTATATTATATTATATTAGTTTCTATTTTTATATTGTATTATACTAGTTTTTATATTGTAATTATTTCTGAGTGAGGGCCACAAGTTTATTAGCTATGCTATTATGTGTTACCCTCGTAAAATAAAGTCTTTATTATTATTATTATTATATACTCTGTTGGCGACGACTGATATCCCTTGAAAACCATGTATCTTCCCCCCCAAAGATTCCTTAACCCCCCTTCCCACCACCTCCGGGCGATAAAAATTGACTGTTCTCAAAGATAATTCGATGATTATATTATCAAGATTTCATGTGGAGGGATAATTTTAGATATATTTAATTAAAAAATCTAAGGGTTGCGGGTTGCTCAACAAAAATCTCGATAACTGTCATTATGGATCAATCTGGATAGGGAAGAACCATTTCATGTTTCCTTGGGGTGGTTGGGAAGTTGTGGTGGATATCATTACAATTCCAGGTTATTTATATTATTTAGATTATAACTTAGATTGTGGGGTGTTTGGAAAGTTGAATAAATTATTACAATTGGTGCTTGTATCATTCTTATCATTCTTTGAAATCTTCTATGAAGACGTGTTCGATATGATATGATAACTTTATTTATATTCGTCATTTCCTCTGTCAATTAACTACAATAAAAATAATGAAAATATTTCAAAAATAAAAACTTCTTTTCGTGATTTTCGCTATGTGGTAAACTTCATACATCATACACTATGCAACACATGTGTTCTAGCTATCACTGACCAGTTTCACAGTACATTCCAGAGCTCCCCTTGACGCACTGACAGGTGTAATTATTTTTTCCATTTTGGCAAGTGGCTCCGTTTAAACATTTATGCCCGTGGCAGTAGTTTCTTGCTGCAACAAATCAAATCAATGCACAAATGGCTTAGTGGAGCAGTTGAAAGACAAGTTTCCTTCCGCAGTCACATACATACAATTTCCTTTCTATGCCCATCTAAATGTCCTTTTTCCAATTTCTAAGAGTAAGTTCAACATTCGACAGTTGTCTTCAAATGTACGTCAAAAATCATATGACGGACGTCACCGTATCGAATCTCGCTCAGAAGGCTGTATTTTATATGAGACATGGCTGATAAGCTATAAAAGTAAAAACAAAAAGACCTAAAACCGAAGCAGAAACTTTAAGTGACCCACGCTTCTCTACTGTTCCTATTCGAGTTGCCGAGATAGCCAGAAGTTTTTAACTGAGTAGGTAAAATAACTGACTCTACAGGGCATTTGAAAATGATTTAAGAAAAGTATAGTTTACTTTTTTGCATTTCAATCCGCTTTAGGCAGGGAATATTTGCACTCTTCTTTTCAATATTTTTTTTCAAAAAAAGAATGTAGACTGACTACAGTAAGACATCGATGGAATCCTTCGCAGAAAGGTTTTTTTTGCGAGCGTGAGGTACGCATAAACTATGCCGCATTTCTAATGAATGCTATTGTATCATACTCGTAGCAAAGGTATGCTGTCGTCCAAAATCAGATTGCATTAATGCAATTAACGGAAAGCTTGTCAATAGACGGGACAAATTCAATCATTACAGCGCTTTCAAAAACATTGAAGTCTACCTGAGCTTGCAAAGACAAATTACAATGCATTAGGTTGCGCATTGGTATCCATGCAAAATTTATTATGTGGCTTACTCTGACAATCTTCACCTTCCCATTCTGGAGGACAAGTGCATTTGTAGCTCCCAGGGCTGTTTTTGCATGTTCCTAAATGGCAAGGATTGTTAATGCATTCGTCTATGTCTAAATACAGGTACAGAAAAGTGAAAGAGTTAATGGAAGACAGAGTTGACAGAAGAATTTATCTAAAGGGGTAGTGGGGTGGATGATTTTCAGGTGATCACATGGTTTTCAAGGGGAACCACCAATTGGTAGCTCTGGCTTTGAATCATGGATACATGAATGAATGAAAACTCCTACCACTTTAAGATATACCTCCGATCTCAAACCTGAGACAGCGGATTTCTCAATCATTAAAATTAGATATCTTTCGAAACTGCTTCCAGAATGAAAACATTCGTAAATGGAAAAATATAGATAAGACTGCTACTTTTTTTTCTTTTAGAAAGCATTCATTTTATATAACCGAGTAATAATTGGTCTTTGAACTGTGTAAGGTCGATGCAATGTCTTTCTTCTGTTTCCGTTTTTGTCTTTTTTTGTTTTTCTTTTCTCTTTTGGCATTTTTGTTGTCGTTTTCGCCTTTACTCTTCTTGTTTTTGTAAGTTAAGTGTTACGTTCCTTTGTTCTTTGTTTAATCTGGATTTACGCGAATGAATAAATAACCACTTAGAGTAAAAACATCTTGTCCGTCATGGTTCGAGGCAAAATATTGTGTTTCAAACTTGTAAATAAGGTTTAAAAGAGGAAAAACCGTCTCTTTAAGGCATTAATATCTTATTACAACGTTGCTGATTTCGAAAAACAGCCAGGAGCTGATTTTCTCTTGAGCTGTGCCAGCCTCTAATATTTTGAAAGACTCTGGCTGAACGAGGCTAGTTGAAAATTTTCACCAGCTATGTTAGTCAGCTTACCTTCTTCGCATTGTTTCGCCATATCACAATTGCTCTAAGGATTAAAACAACATGTTTAACTATTAGTAATAGATCATTACTGATATGTATGGATACAAACCAAGGATACTTTACGTTAGGCCCGGTTCAAACGTCGAACTCTTCTGTACCGAACCCTATACCTTTTCGAGTCGACTCGAATAATTAGGTTTGGCAGATGATTTAAGCGTCGAACTTAATGTGCTGTACCTAATACTCACGAAGACTTGAGAACAAAGTCTGCGGTCGGTAGTGCTAGATTCAATATGGCAGATAACATGTCGGGAAGCGAGTACTCTGGAAACTCGGAGCTTGTTATTCTCGTTAATACCATCCGTCAAAATAGAAGATGGCGCTTAAACATGCAAATGAGCTTACACCACCTTGTTTCTCGAAAAGACAAATTTTACATGTGTGATTCCTTCGTTTATTATTGATTTTACAATCAAGGCAACAACATCACTACCAATAAAAGCTAAGTTTTTCGTTTGTCTTACGATGTAATCACGTGTGATGTATATCGCGACGTTTCGACTGCATACTGCTAGTCTTCATCAGGCGATGAGGTCGACTGGTCATGCATGATATTAAAGTATAATACTCTGCTGTGCTTAGTTGTTTTTCAACAGCTCTGATTGGTGAATTTCGATCCTTGCTGTTTAACTCAGCGATTTCCTCCCTCGGCGGTCCGCTGTCGCATTGCTCTCCTGTTGTTATGTTTTTTGATCGGAGACATCCAAGCTCCTGGAATTTCTATTCCACTATCCCTGTTGATGTTGTCAGGGTGAAGTCTTATATGAATTGCCTCTTTGACTTTGAAAGGTACATGGAGGGTACTTCTACGCAAGAGTGAGAGCGATCGAGACCAAGTCCGTATTACAACCTGTCATGCATGGTCCTTCACAATATTTGTATCATGCAAGGTGATGTAATTTCCAAGCAATTGGACCTGGGCAATTCTGAGAATAGAGATCGGGAAGAAATCAAGAAGTTATTGGAAATGTGTGATTGGCCAAGTGTAAGGGATGCACTTTAAAAGATTAAACTGATAATTTTTCTAATATACTGATCGGACCAGAACGAATTTCAATGCAAATTGAAACTATAAATAATCTAAATCTTTGTCTTTATCTCCACTTCTATTTCATTTAAATTTTTATAACCATTTCTCATATTTTCTTGAAATCATTATCAAAAATTCAATGTGTCAATATTTAGAAATATAATCAAGTATGAAACCAATATGAAATGTTGTCTGATGGACCATGATGATAATAATCTACCAGTAGAAATCCATGTGTATATTACTATTGTACTTCAAAAGCTTACACTAATAACTTTTTTAACATACTGATCGGACCAGAACGAATTTAAATGCAAACTGAAACTATAACTAGTCTTAATTTTTGTCTTTATCTGCCCTTCTCTTTCATTTTAACTTTCAAAGCTATTTCTTATATTTTCTTTAAATCATTGAAATCTAACATTCATTAACTCAAATCAATATTTGATATCAATAGCTGGTAAAGCTGTCCCATAAGACCCATCTGGCATTCTAAGTTGACATGGTGGGCCTGTTCCAAAGCCCCTATTCCAGTTTGGGTAATACCCTGTCTCCCCGAATGGTATGCGCCAAGATGATGGTGTGGCTTGATTGGTATCATAGCGGCCATTTTCTCTTTGAGATAACATTAATTGAAATGACTTTAATTCGTGTTCACGGCATTTTTACATTTCCTCCATCTTAAAGCTGATCAGTTGTTTAGTTGGGTCATTTTCATTGGTTGCTTTAGCAAGGTTCGTGACTTCAACTGTAGTGGCATCCACTTTCTCTTTCATTGTTTGCTTTTTCTTTGCAAACAATGGCTCTTGTTCTTCTGAATTTGATGAGGATGGCTCTAGTGCCCATTCTGGCTGGCAGGAGTCCCTTGTCCTGACAACTTCAAGGAGAGCATGAAACCACTTCCCAAAACCACGGTACTCTTGAAACCTCTTGATTCTGGTGGCGGCTTTTTTGTGTCAGAACTGCCTGCTTATAGACGCTGACACACTTTTTAAACTTGCTACGTAACTGAGGGACAGTAGATGCGATTACTTCACCTCTGCTAAAGGCCCTTACATTAAGCTCTTCTAATATCTTTTCGTAAATGGGCCCATTTTTTTGGCTTTTGCAGTGGGTGAAGATTAGCTTTCTTTTATAACTGTTGCTACTGACAACAATGTCGATAAAGTCATCTAGTACTTTTTCAGGCCACTTAGATTTCCTGGCAGATTCCTTCTTAATGGCTCCCTTTCCTTTTTCCACAAACAGTTGCAGGGCATCATCAGTGTCATCGCTCTCCGTCTCATCATTATCTTGTTCGTCATCTGTGTTATCAAAACTTTCATCAATTCTCCTCCTACAGTATACAAACATAAAGACCATACTAAGGCAAAGCTTTGTATTTAATGAAAACTATTTTCACAGAGGAAGCGGAGAGTACAGAGTCAACACATGTTTAAAGCCCAGGGCCAGGTATTTCAAAAGCCGATTAACAATAATGTATCAGTCAATTCAAAGAACGCCCCTCTCCCTTTCCCAACCCTTTTGCAACACTTTTGTCTTTTAAATCTGAAAATGATGGTGAAATTTAACTTTCTGTGAAGCCCTCAGCAATGAAGCATTGGACTGTGTAAACTACCCACATCTTGGGAATTCGACTAAAATTATTCTCAAGTCGAACGCCCGGAGAGGTGCATGGATGCTTGCAACATAAAGTCGATTACAGGTCAAATATATTTTGTATAAAAGTGTTTCTCTTATTAATGTTTCGTGGAGTTTGAGATTGGGTGCTTGAAACATAATTGACTGAAACATAAACTGGGGATTTTTAGTCGATTACAGGTTAAATATATTTTTAAATAATATTTCGTGGAGTCTGAAATCAGTCAAAACTGGCTGAGCAAAATATGAACTAATCGTGCCTCAAACAACGCGGCCCTTTTTTGTGTAAAAGACACAATCTGAACAACAGTGTTGGCAAACTCAACAGTGAAAGATATGATAATCTACGGTATTCACACAATTTACCCTCAATTGATAGCATTAAAAAATATTATACACATGAAGTAAGCATGAAACAATTATTCCCCACACTGTCTTTTCTGTTGGTCGAACGGATTCGCTTCCGTAATCTTTCAATCGAGCTTGTGCTTCACGGTCGTAACGGTTCTTACTAAAGCTTACCTTTTCGGTTTTACCTCCGTGGTTGATGTATTTCGACGTTTGCTGTTTGATTGATCATTAGTTTGATCGCCTGAAATCATCTCTTTCTCCAGTTTCTCATGAAAGCAAAGCTTGCAATAGGCTACTGACCTTTCCTGCTTCCAGCCCACAACATTTTCGTCGTTTTCAAAGACACAGCATATAGTGCAAAAGTACTCCTTACACGTTAGACATGTATACTTTGTTGTTTTAAAAAAAGATGAGTACATACTTTCCTCCCTTTCCCGCCGTATTGTTCGAACGCTTTTGCGCATGGCATGTATGCGAAACGTTCTGAATTGTGGGTAAAATATAATTTATTTAATATATATATATATAATGTATGCATTAGATTCAGTACATGAAAAGTTCGACGTATGAAACAATGTCGATCTTTTACCGTTTTATCCGACAAGCCTGGTCGGATAGAACGGTACTGTCGACCCGAATACAAATCTGCCGATCCTAATTGATTCGTACGTCGTACTTTTCATTTACTTAATAGCAACTTTAGGTTCGGTACATGAAAAGTTCGACGTTTGAACAGGGCCTTAGCTACACTTGCATCGTATGTTTTCCTTTTTTTCAATTTTTTTTCTTTGTTAATTTCCATGAGAAATATGACGTAAGTTGTGAGACGGAACTTTGTATAGTTATAGTGTTTATTCTATCGAGATAAACACCCGAAGAGAAATTCCATATCTATGTGCGCCCATGTGTTATTCTATATATATATTTATTGAGTATAACAAATGCCTCTAAACTAACTGTTTGGATCGTTTCCAATCGAGACTTGTATTTCTATCACGTGCACAGGAGGCGTCTATTAATTATCCATCAAAAGATTCAAATAATTTCCGAAGGACTATTCAACTAACGTTAATCCTCAGGAAAAACATCTACGCGGGGGAGTAATGTATGTTAGGTATTTAGTCTTTCAGCTTTATTTTGTTTTGGTTTGCCTCTCCAATTTCTAAACATCATCTCTTTGCACGTTTTGACATATGTTTCACGTCGTTTTTTTAAAAATACGAATTTGATGTTGAATCCTACAATATTCTGAAGTCGACATTTGTTTTAGATTTGTGAGCGACTGGGTAAGACTTCTTACCTCAATACCCAAGTATAGAAAGTCATCCATAGGTTTTATATCGTTCGGATGTTTTAATTGGTCCGAGTCACTCAGCTGACACAGGACTTTGTCTTTCCTTACTTGACCTATGTTGATTGATCGACATTTCTGCTCCATGATACATCGATTTCTGCAGTGGTTATTTATGTGTGGTCCAATAAATAACGTAATATTGGCAAAGACATGACCCACCAAAGCAAAGCCACGGCTTGGTTCTGAAAACTTGACACGTCTGCAGATTTCTGAAAATTTTAAAACAGGTCCTTTCAATAAGCTTTACAACCTCGACATAACCCAGCTTTAGCAAGTGAAGCGTAGATGAAAGCTCGAAGAGAACCTGTCCCAGGCTTCCTGTTGGAAACACCAAGAGGACACGAATATTTCCAAATTACTTTTTTAAGTAAACGTTTTCTTCTATTATACGCCTGAAGTTTTTTCTTTCCCTTAAAAGATAAAGGTTTCAAAAAAATCAAAATATTGAGAGTGAAAAGCGAAAAAAAAATTAAATATATACTCCTCACAGAGTCTTCTTCTTTTACCTTTTGTGCACGTCTGTATTGGAATAGAATACAACTCAGAGGCTAGACTTTGTTTTAAAAAAAAGTTTAAAAAATTTTGTTTTTAACCATCGTGTGAAATTTGGTTATCACGATCCTGCCAGCTAGGCTTTTCACATGAAAGATTTTTCTGTTAATGATGATGAAATCAAGCCTCTCAGGGAAAAAAAAACAATAAAATAAACGAAAGACAACGAGAAACTGTGTGATTTGTATTTTGAGGGTAACACAGGAATATAGCTTGTGAAGTTTTATGACTGAGACATCGGAAAAACTGAGGTCGACTACTATTACCTTACAGAAAATTTTGAAACCTCAAATGTAAAAACAATCAAACAACGTATTTTATTATAATTATTATTTACCTTTCAGAAATACTGAACTGTACCTACCTTGGTTTGCAGTCGCACGGTTGTGAGAGTAACTTCCTAATAGGGCAAACAGATACAAAAAAAGCTTCATCCTAGACATTTCGCCTGTACAGAAGCTCCATTCGCTCATACCACGTTTTTAATGGCTGTATCATCTCTGACAAAAGTTCATCACCCAACAGTGCATGAATACATGTAAGACTCTATGTCGACATGGTGGCACCAATGCTTTATGACCAAGGAAGTATTCCTTAATTTTTAATGATGTAAATGTTTTTGTTGAGCAGAGAAAAAAAGATGAATACAGATGTGTTACGTTTTTTTTTCGGAATGGCATGACACATTTAAGCTTTCTCACGCCTTTTGTGTTCAGAATAGTAAACAGAGGAGTTGTTACTTGGATCAATTGTGATCTTGTTTTAGTGAGACAGTCTAAGCAAATGCTTTTTTCACGTGGGAAAAATATAATCCTAATCATCTTTTCATTTCGAATTTTTACCCCTGCAGGGCTGTTGAATCTTATAAAGGTATGTCGTGATACACCCTCCTAACAATGTGTGAGCGTTTACATTTATCGTTATCTAATTTCAGGCACACGTTAAAATAGCTTGTAGTGCCAAATGATTTATGCCCATCTTTTATTTAACAATTACAAGTCTCAGTCTCAGTGAATTGCGTTGAATAATCCTCGATTTGAAGTCGAGGAGATTATTCAAAAATGTTCATCTTCATCATTTGTTGTTACGAGTCTGTTGAATAAGTGACTCGTTATTTTATCTTTTTCCCTTTTTTAGTTCCGAATAAGAGAAAATAAAATTAGCTGATAAATGTTTTATAGAATTATGTAACTTCCTTTGGGTACTGTTTTCCTGAGTACTCCGGATAACGTGCTGGTTGGAATAGTTCAATATTTTATTGTTTTATTCGTTTTTCTTTTTTTCTTTTTTATTCTGTTTTGTTTTTTTGTGTTTTTTTTTTGGTTTAATTCTGTTCGTTGTATAGAGACTTTACGAGTCTGTAAATATGTCAATCTTTTTCTACGCATTTTTTTTCTCTTCTCCTATTTTTAGTTCAGGATTCAAGGAAATATAACAAAATGAAATCTTTTTTTACATTATCATATAATGCCAAACAGACCTTTTTTGAGCAGTGCAGTATGCAGGTAGAATTTTGATTTTAATATGTTTGCGGGTGTTTTGCTTTGTTTTGTTTTGTTTTGTTCTTTTTATGAGTATTTTGATATAGTGTTTCTTATGGATATCAGTTCTGTGTACAATCATCCCCCCCAGCCCACCCTACCCTTAAAGGTAATTTAATACATTCCATAATAACGAAGAGGACCAACCCGTGGTTTCAAAAGGCCGTAGCTATCAAATAAGCCGCAATTCTTAAACGAAATAAACTGGTGCTAATAGCAGCAGTCTTTTTATTTTTCGAAGCACACCTCATGTTAACAACTTCTTCGGTTTCTGAAATCAGAATTTTGTTCTCCCCCAAAAAAAGTTTTTACTTCGTTACCTAGAGTTTGCTCATAAACGAAATTTGCTTTGTAAGTTGATTTGCTTTCATCCATTGGGAATTGGGACCAAAAGTAGTAAATACGGATACTTGAGCCCTTGCTCTTGTTCTTTTCTTTATCTGCATGATTGAAAAATCTTTATTAGAATTCACAAAACTACAAAATTGTTATTTATGATTCTCAGAGGTAAGAAACATATCACTTCAGATTTTTCACCGACTGCAACAGCAGGTGGTATTGATAATGTGCAAAGTTGACCTGCAACCCTTGACAGCATTATCTCAATGATGAGTAGTAATCATTGACAAAGATGATAAATGAGATATATCGCGCGATAAAATCAAAATGTGGCGCGATAAATGGAAATTATAAATGAAAAAATATCGCGCGATTGGCTGTCACGCACGTTGTTTCCGAAAAAGACGAGAATGGCTGCAACAGTTGCAAAGTACTTTCCTAACGGGGTTGGCGATACAGAAGTGACATCTAGAAATTTACAAACCTGCAATGTAATCAGAAAGATTAGATAATCCACACTTGTTCTC